GGCAGATTGTTATCAGTGTAAGTGCTGTATACCGGAGGTTCCACACTGAATAAACTGAGGGTTGGGATAGAAACTGTTTCCATAGTCTCAGCATTGAGACCGGAACAGGGAGTAAGTCTTGCCCAGCCTGTGTCCAAACGCTGCTCGACCAAGGCCATCAGTGATGTGGGGGAGGGAACATTTGAGCTGATAGCTGCTGTGAGTTAAACAGGTGTGAAATGTACTTGTTCCCAGAAACTATGTGAAAATGTCCTGTTTGTCCTACACCACGTTACTTGTGCCTTAATATTATGTCAAATGTTATTAGTGTGCATCCATCACTTACTCAAAATTATGTTTGCAGTTGTGCTTTATGCGACGCTGCAAAGAAAGCTCAAATCACAATTTTAAGATTAGAATAAGAGACCTTATTAACGCAGGCACACTTAGAACAGGTTCGCCGTACTCAGGTACAAAATAAACATGTCTGTGTTTGATCTGTCTGATCCCACAGTTTATGAAAAGGGTGGTTCTTTGCACACATATACACTTCTACAAATAAAGGATCCAGTAAGAAGCCTGATCCTATTGGAGAGGTTCAAAAGGTTCCACAAAGAACTTTTTATTTTTTTAAGTTTTTGTTCTTTAGACCAGTGGTTCCCAACCCTGGTCCTGGAGGCACTCCAACACTGCATGTTTTGCATGTCTCCTTAATGAAACACACCTGATTCAGATCATCAGCTCATTAGTAGAGACTCCCAAGACAGGGGTGTCCAAACTCGGTCCTGGAGGGCCGGTGTCCTGCAGAGTTTAACTCCAACTTGCCTCAACACACCTGACTGGAAGTTTCTATGCTTAGTAAGAGCCTGATTAGCTGCTTCAGGTGTGTTTAATTAGGGTTGGAGCTCAACTCTGCAGGACACCGGCCCTCCACTGAGTTTGGACAGCCCTGCTCCAAGACCTGAAATTGGTGTGTCAGAGAAAGGAGACATGCAAAATGTGCAGTGTTGGGGTGCCTCCAGGACCAGGGTTGGGAACCACTGCTTTAGACAACCATGAATCTGGTGCTTTAAAACAGTGTCTCAAATTTCATTTCAGATTTATTTCTTTATATATTTTTTAAAAGATCGTATTAATCCTCGCAGCCCCATCAGTAAGACATTTTTTAATATATATAATTTTAAGTCACTTCAAAACCTATATTAGGCATTTTCTTTCCTCAAACAGGAAATGAGATTAATCACAACCACTTATTTTAATCTCTCTGCCAAATGCATAATTGTAATGCAAATGTAACAAAGTGAAAGCAGAATAATCTATTTTCCCCTGGTTTAAAAACAGCTTTATTGACGAATGCAGAAACCAATACAGTGATCAGAGCCTAATGTCAAAAAGTAAATGAATACAAGTCAGAAAGAGCTTTATTACCAAGTATGTTTAAACACATAAGGAATTTGACTTGATGACAGAAGCTTCCAGTGCAGAAGAAAGTACGGACATAGTGCAACGAATGCATCACCATAAAGTAAAGCTCTGAAAAGTGCTTAAATGATATGTCTGCAAGGCTCATTTGAAATGCAAAGGACTAAGCAAATATTTCACTTGATAAAGTACCGTGGAAATAGTACAAACCTACCAATTTAATCATCTGCATAAACCCACCCACTACCACGTCTGTATTTTTCTTTCTTGCCAAAATAAAATAATTCATCTAAATAAACTTGCTCATGTTTATCAGTGGAAAGTCCCCACTAATGTAATGCAACAGTATGTGATTTGCATTGTCAACTCCGTCCACAGCTTTAAATCAAAAGCATTTTAGAGTGCGCGCTGCATATACCACCTGCAGCAGCAGCAGCTGTATCACAGATCCAATATTACCATCATCTGAAAGCCTGAACAAAGTTTCAGATCGCTATTTCCGATGCTTGCGCCAGCTCATGGGTGACTCGAGACAAAACGGATCCCTCCTTTGATTGGCCACAAAAGCGCTACGTGGACATCGAGCAGCAACAGGTAGGGCGCGTGACCGTTATCATTTCATTCTGACTGCGGCTGTCAGGAAGACAACTCATTATCGCTCTCCGCAAGCCTCTTATCGCGCACACATCACCACGAGTTTGGTGGACATTTATTTCAAGGTAAGCAAAACTTTGTTTCCCGACAGCAGAGATGATTGACAGCTTATAAAACAGAAGCGACAACGTGTAGAGACGATGTGCATTTTCGTTGTTCACTTGATTGTGTCAGGATCTGATTCATTATCAACAGTTTATTTAATTATCAATAGTGGATATTTCAGTATTTTCTGACAAAGCCAAAGTTTTACAATTTTGAACGGATAACATAACTGTAGCAGGGATGAATGAGATGCTACTATAGTGCAACTAACTAGGGAAGGATAGGCCTATTACACATTATCTAGAAGAACTAACCAGTTAGTACAGGATGTTCAAACAAGCACCTGAGATGTAACTTAATCCCTATATAACATAGCATTTTTAGTATCCACTGTACAAGCCATTTGTATAGATATATGTGATCCTGGACCACAAAACCAGTTGTAAGGGTCAATATTTCGAAATTGAGATTTATACATAATTTGAAAGCTGAATACATAAGCTTTCCATGGTATGGTTTGTTAGGATAGTTGTATTTCGACGAGATATTGTTCTATCTGAAAAAATGGAATCTGAGGGTGCAAAAAAAAAAAAAAATCTAAATATTGAGAAAATCTTCTTTACAGCTGTCCAAATGAAGTCCTTAGCAATGCATATTACTAATCAGAAATTAAGTTTTGATATATTTACGGTAGGAAATTTACAAAATATCTTCATGGAGCATGAGCTTTACTTAATAACCTAATGCTTTTTGGCATAAAAGAAAAATCGGTAATTTTGACCCATACAATGTATTGTTAGATACTGCTGCAAATATACACGTGCTACTTATGACTGGTTTTGTGGTCCAGGGTCACATAGAATGTTATTTTGCATGTTAACTCCAATCAAATGTGAATGATAATATCCTAGGGCCTACACCAGGGTGTGGGTGAGTCAAGTATGAAGTCCAAGGGGAAGGGGTCAAAGCGGGGCAGACAGGCTTGGGCAGAGCAGGACGACCCAGACTTTACGCTGGAAACAGAGCCAGGTTCCAGCGAGCAGGAGGGTTCAGAGGCGTCCGTGAGGCTGGGAGGGACATGGAGAACATTGAGGGCCGAGAGACACGGCGGTTCCCGCGTGGGCACACGTCGCAGGCGGCAGCACGGCAGCACTAAGGAACGCAACGTCCGCAGGCTGGAGAGTAACGAGAGAGAGAGGCAGAGGATGCACAAACTCAACAACGCCTTTCAGGCCCTACGGGAGGCCATTCCTCACGTCAAATCAGACAAGAAACTTTCCAAGATCGAGACTCTCACGCTGGCGAAGAACTACATCAAGGCCTTAACCACAATAATCCTGGGAATGTCGAACGCCTGCCTGCCTCACGCCGAGAGTGATATGGAGACTCACGCCTCCCGGCTCCTGCAGTGCTATCAGCAGCATCTACAGGAGGAGGGAGAGGAGGATCTGTCCAACTACCTGAGCCACATTCACAGCTTCAACCAGGGCAGCTAACACATGCTGCCACAGACTCAGTGAGCGCTGTGTAAATGCATGCATGATGATGAAAACCAGCTCTGAAGACTAACAAAAGGGTCCATCTGAATAACCCTGAGTTTACAAGCTAAAGCTGGTCCATAAACAGGCTAATTTATGTACAGAATATGCACAGATTATATTGCCCACAAACAATGTGGTACTTATTTGCCATTGTTAAAGTACTAGCCACTAACTCTTTGGATTATGAAGGGACACAATTTGCTGGTCATTAATGTAGTTCATCCAAAAATGTCACAAAAGAAGATGCTTTGCTCATATAGTGAAAGTCAATGGGGTCCAAAACAACACTGGACCCCCGATTTTCATTGTATGGACAAACAAACAAAAATCATCTTCATTTGTGTTCCATGAAATAGTCATACAGGTTTGGAATGACATGAGGGTGAGTAAAATTATAATTTTTGGGTGAACTATCCCTTTAACAGGGTGAGTATTTCATATTAAAAATGCGAAGTTTTGGAGAAGATTTCATATTTATTGAGGACACATACCACGCACATATGACACTGAGAGGAGTTTACTGTACTCAAATAATGACTCTTTACCCTGTTATTTGTCTACGTTTAATAATTTCAAACTATATTATCCTTTTCTTTTTCTAGTGGTTTCTCTCATGCCTGCATAACGTTCTTTATATGTACAGAAGCAACTATAAATAATGCCCTATAGGATGTCACACAATTGATGCAGTTTCACATTAGGACCGTAAATTACCCATAAATATTCAAAATTTATACATCTACATGTACAATATAACTTAGCAGAAGAGGAATAAAACTAACTATTCATCCTAATAAAACCATTTGGAAAGATTTGTTATAAACACTGTTACTTTTTAAAATTTGTGCTGCCTTTAAATGGAATTAAACCACATATATATCTATGTATAAATGAAATATGCTGACATCCTGAGAAATGTTTCACAACATTGTCTTCACATTTCACAAAAGTAAATATTGCACTCTTTCATCAATGACAACATCTAAAGAAGTGTCTGAACATGCACTACCATTCAAAACTCAAAGGTCGGTAAGATTTTAATTGATTTTTACTTTTTTTTTTTTGGTAGTATCTTATGCTCACCACTGCTTTTATCTGATCAAAAATAAAAACTATAATATATCGCTAAAATTCTGTCATAATCATTCAGAACTCATTCAAACATGCTTATTTTTTTGCGCAAGTAACAATTTCTTATCAATGTTGAAAACATTTAAGCTGTTTAATATCTTTGTAGAAACCGTGAGTTTTTTTTTTTGCAGGATTCTGAATAGGAAGTTCAAAAGTACAGCATTTATTTTTGAAACCAAATTCTTTCACAATATAAAATCCTTTACTGTCATTTTAGTAAATTTTTTATATCCTTGCTGAATTAAAGTATTAATTTCTTAAAAAAAAAAAAATCTTACTGACCCCAGATTTTGGAACTATAGTGTATTTGTTCAGTACCACGGTGCTGTCTCAGCTTTGACTAAGAACATAACCAATAACCCAATACAAGCAGATGATGAAAGTATTACAGACTCTTTTATGCTTAAACCGATGTTTAGCGGCACTGCAGCCGAGCTGTAAAATTCCCAGAAGCAGGTGTTTGTTTAAAAATGTTGTTTGTGTGTGATGTTCAATATAAAATGCTTGTAGTGTACCTACAGTAGCTTACACTGTGACCTTTTGTATTTGATGCCCCTGAATTCAAATAAAAAAATAAAAAAAGCATACGGGCAATCGTGATTTTACCACAGACGAATAAATAAACATTAAATTAAGATCCTCTAAACAAAAATACTATGTAAAAATCATAATGACGAATGATGGGAGTGTTAAAAAGGAGAGGGCATTACTGGAAGTGGCCTCAATATCCATGAGAGCCCACAAATGGAGAAAACATCTTTCAAACTAACTAGAAAATGTGAATTCAGCTGAGGTACAAACAAAACCACAGAGTCGTCTGCATGTGCGGGAGCTCGAGTCGCACGATTTGTTAAGTGGGATTGAGTAATTCTGCTCTAAACAAGAGAAGCGCTACAGAAGGGAAGACAACTTCTACACGGCTACAGTAGAGACGGTTAGCATAAAGAGCTCAGCTGTTTGACTAACAGCCCACTGGGTTCCCGTTCATCTCTGGCTGGTTACTGGTTTGCAGTGGCCGTGTTGCCGTCTGGTTGTCAGTCAGGGATGGCATCAGGATGCGAGGTGCCTCCATTGCATTTCCTCTGACTGTTATATGATCCCATCCGCCCTGAAAGAAACAGATGATTTCTTATTTTCTATCCATTCTGCACAGTATTGTTAGTGAGAAGTGAGCATAAAGACAGTGCTCACCCCAATGCCATAGTCCCACGAGTGTCCTTTGGGTTCCATCGGCAGCAACCCCAGTCGGCGACACACAGTGCCACAGCTCAAACTGTGACTGCCCTGCACCTTATCCGCAATGATCCATACCTTAAGAAAAAACAAAAACAAATCTGGCATTAAGCAGAGCAACAAACCTGCAGTAGTTAGACTGCAATAGCTAGTTACAAGGAAATGGTCTAGACCTGGTCCAGAGGTCCCACAGACACCTTGCGCACATTATTGGAGATGTGCTCCCATGATGAGCCCTGAGGGTAACTGGGGGTCACACCATGTCTGTACCACAGATTACCTGCTCATACAAAACAATACATAGAATCAATGCTATAACAAATGGTCAATTTATTAGTGACATATATATATACAATTTATATATATATATATATATATATATACACACACAATAAAAATATGCTAACAAAAATACAATAACAACAATATTGCTAAAACAAATGTATATATTTAAAAATGTAATTAATTTATGTAATGGCAAAATTGTATTTTAACAGTTTTCAAGTTTCAGAAATCATTCTAATATGCTGATTAAGTGTTCAAAAATATTTATTTTATAATCAGTTGTGAAAACAGTTGCACTGCCAACTGTGATACATTTTTTCAGGATAATTTGATGAAAGGAAG